AAATGAAAGGTTTGGAATATGATTTGGAAATTTTGGATTGGAATGAGGAATGGGCATTTGGAGGGAAAATGAAATTAACCAAATTTCAAATAGGTTCTAGATCCTTCCCAAAGTGAAAATCAGATTTGCACATGACCGAAATTGGACCCCAAAGTGGCTTGCATTGAAAATTCACGTGTAGAGGCAAAACCTGGACTGGTTAATCGATTAACCATATAGGTTAATCGGTTAACACCTTTAAAGCTTCAGATTTGACCTAATTTTGACTTGGTTAATCGATTAACCATATTGGTTAATCGGTTAACACCTTCAAATTTTGAATTTTGGCGCCTTTTGGAGGAAAATCTGCCCTTTTGTCCGTTTCCAACTGTTTTGAGCTCTGTTCAACTTCTGAAACTTGCTTTTGAATATCATAACCATCAACATGCTTGCGATAGTCTGAATGCTGCTTTCTGAGTTGAAAATACCTTGCAAAATAAAATAAAATCGGTCGCCCGACCGCTGGGAAAAATAAATGCCAAAGCCTCTGATGCTCGTTGTTCAGGTTCATGAACTGAGATGAAAACTGAGCCACGGGAAAACCTTGATCCCTTGTCTCAAGAACAAATGCTATGCAAATGCAGAAATGTGAAAATAAACAAAAGTCAGATGCTGCCAAAATGGAAAGGCAAATTTTGGGGTGCTACACAAGTGTACTAACTTTTATCGATGTAGTAATAATTGGGGTTTTCCCAGTATCGATCTCTGAGGACTACGTGTAAATTTTTAGGTACAGATGTTATTTCAATCAAACAAAATAACCTTGGGGTTTTTAACAGGAAAAAGCAGGATGATAAAATTATTTTAACGATTAAGAGAAAATATGTTGGGGGAAGTGTATGAATTGCTTAGTACGAACCCTGGAGTAAATTAATGAGACATGTCACAAAACCTTAATTTTTATTGCACCTCAAAAGTGTTTTTCTTAAATTCCTTAACTGAAAAACCTTTGATATTCTTCCTTGACCCTAATTCCTTAATTTTTTTTCAATCAAGCAATAGTTCTGAAAAAGGGTTTTTACAATCATTACAGGATATCCCTATTCCTAGGCAATATTCAATGTAATGTGTTATACAAAATAATCGATCGGTTTTTCAGGCCAAATACCTAATTGTAAATCATTCCCAATTTATACGATCTTTAAAAGTTTAAACAGATTGCATAACAAAAATATTAAGGAATGAAACAAAATCTCATTAAGAAATGCAACAGAGGTTCATTACAACACAATTCAGGGACACCCCCTAACAATTGGGGGTTTAGCTATCCATAGTATTCAACAAAAACAACATAGAAAGTAGAAACATTACAAGACTTTGAGAATAAATTTGATCTTCAATTTCTTCCGATCATGAAAATCTCCTCGTCTTCCCAATTCTCTAGAGCTTCCCAATTTCAGTTATATTTTTTTCGTACGATCAAAAAGTCCTTTCCTCACTCAGAAATCACGTCTTAATAGTATCAGATCAATTTTTTCCATGCGAAAAGTCCAAGTTATCCTTCATGCAGTCACACTGGCCAAACTTCAAAAATATCAGCTGACACGGGCACCCGTGTTGGCCCACAGAGAGGAGCCTTCAAATTTCAACCTTCAGGCATGCTGACACGGGAGCCCATGTCATCCCTCTGGTTGCTCTTTTTCTTGTACTTCTGGTGCCATCCTGACACGGGCCGTGTCAAGTGACATAGGTCGTGTCAGGTGACAAGGGTACCCGTGTCAGGCCTCTGATTTTGCGGAAAATCCTCCCGAACTCAGTCAAATTCGCATTTCTTCCTCTGATTACTTCCATGGACCTAAAATTACTAACACTACCAGACCAAGACATCAAAAGTGCTTTATTGAATATAAATTTAAACTGCAACAACTTAAATGGACATAATGTGAAAACATAAACAATTAGAGGAAAATGACAAAGAAACAACTCACAGTATATACACTGAAGACTAACATATCACTCCTTCTTTTATTCTCTGGTCTTACAAGATAAAAGTATTTAGAAAAGATGGACAAGACAGAAACGTGTGATGGAAGTATCAGTATATGTAAACTTGCCTATATTGATATAAACTGATTTTCAGTCAGTACTGCTACATGAGATATGGTGAGACTTTGCTGCTATTATCTCTCACGGGTCAAATTTTACCATTAAAAAAGTTGGGATTACTAGTTACGCTTATACCCCTCAAGACTACAACGTCCAGCTATATATAAAAAGAGATCACTCCTTCTTGCAAAACAAAAACAACGAGTTCTACAAAAGAAGTGAAAAGCGCGTAGTCTATTTTCTATATTCATATACACAAGAGTTGTTGCTCATATTTGTGTAATCCCTTGTACTTTTCATTCATCTGCTTTATAGAAGTACATTGTAAACAACCATTTATATATTCATTGATATTGATATCCTCAAGTGACTAAGTGTTAGTCCGTACTCTTGAGAGGGCTAAGGTGTTTTTCTAAACACTTAGACGAACTTGTTATAATCTGTCTAGATTATTAGATTAAGCCTTTGTTGGAGACGAAATCACCTTGACGGGTGAACTGGAGTAACTTCATTAACAATATAATGTAGTATTTATAAATAAATATATATATATATATATATATATATATATATATATATATATATATATATATATATATATATATATATATATATATATATATATATATATATATATATATATATATATATATATATATATATATATATATATATATATATATATATATATATATATATATATATATATATATATATATATATATATATATATATATATATATATATATATATATATATATATATATATATATATATATATATATATATTTAAAAATGTATAAAAATAAATAAATAGATAAATATATAATTAAAAATGTTTAAAAATAAATAAACATATATACATCATTATATATATATATATATATATATATATATATATATATATATATATATATATATATATATATATATATATATATATATAAATAAATAAATAAATAAATATATATATATATATATATATATATATATATATATATATATATATATATATATATATATATATATATATATATATATATATATATATATATATATATATATATATATATATATATATATATATATATATATATATATATATATATATATATATATATATATATATATATATATATATATATATATATATATACATATATATATATATATATATATATATATATATATATATATATATATATATATATATATATATATATATATATATATATATATATATATATATATATATATATATATATATATATATATATATATATATATATATATATATATATATATATATATATATATATATATATATATATATATATATATATATATATATATATATATATATATATATATATATATATATATATATATATATTTGTATTAATAATATAAATTAAAATATATTAAAAATTAAAATCAATTGCATAAAAAAAAACCCAACAATCTAATAAACTTTATATATGAAATTCAGGAAGAAAAATAAAAAATAGAAAAAGCCAAAATACCTGAATGTAGAAACAATATAAATATTTGGAAATTCTTTTTGAATGAATTTAGTAACATTAATTAAAAATGAAAAATTAAAACACAATAATTAAAAAAGAAAATAAAATAAAAAAATTAAAATGAAAAATTCAATAACATAAATTAAAAACCGTATCTTAGTTGAATGTGGATGAAAATAAGAAAAGAATGTGGGATGATTAAAATATAATCTCATAAAAGAAATGGAAGAAGGTTTAAAAGGTGAGAAAAGAAAGTTGAAAGTTAGAAGGAAGAAGGTTGAAATGAAAGAAAATGATTTCTGTTAACATGAGGGAAAGATATTTGTGGACATTTGAGTAGACACGTCAGCGGCGTGAAAATCACATTGTAAATAAAAAGTAACTGTTGGATTGAGGCGTGATTAACACGTTGATAAATCTGCAACGTCAGAACAGTAAAAAGGTTTGTGACATGATTTACATGACGTCAATTTAAAGGTGTCAGTCAACCTGCCCAACCGTCAATTCCAACCGTCAAAATTTTCTTTTCAAATTTTTATATTTTTAAAATGTAATTTGAGACGTGTTTTCCATGCCATAAACTAATTAATTTTTTTTTTAAAAATTTTAAACCCCCCAATGTGAAAACCTGATGTTTTTTTAAAGGTATGTTGCAACCTGTTTTATACACCATAACATTTTTTTTGAAAATTTTTCATATTTTCCATGCAAAAATCTAATTTGTAATATTTTATTATTTAAAACATATAGTAACATGATAAACACGTCGCAACATCTTTTTGGTGACATGTTTATCACAACGCAAAGTCTTGTTGCTTGGAGTTTGTTTCCTTTTAATAAAAATTTGAATTTAAACTGTGTACCTCAAAAATCACACACTTCACCTTATTTAATGGACATATGTTATTGTTTAGAGTAAGAATTTCTCTAAATAAAACATTCAAGTATGGTTTGATTTGGAAGAATTTTTCCTTTATTGTTTGACAACAAATTATGCTCCATAATTTTATATCAAGAAATTCCAAACAAAACTTATATATTTATCAACACAATTACAAATATTTACTTTTACACATAAAATGCATGGAAAAGTGGATTTCACATAGAAAAGATATATAGAATGCGCTGTACAAGATCTAAAAACCACAAGCAAAGCGGCATATACGGTGCCAAGCAAGGAAAGAAACAAAAAGAGGCTTAGAATTTAGATATTTATATACAATCTCTCTTTCCTATCTCTTCCGTTCAATCCCCGTAATTCACTCTCTTTCTCCTTTTTCTCTTTGCAGAAAGTTGAAAAATAATAATCTTACAACTCTCACAAACTCATTCAACCATAACTGTCATGAAGCAAGCCAAAGAACATTTATCTTTTCATTTTGGGTTTCTCCCATGAAAGATCATATGAAACAAAACGGTGTCATTTCATGGAGCACGTTCTTTTTGTTCACCATCGTTGTTGTTTTGTCTTCCATTATCTCTACCTCTCTCATTTTCTCCTTCATCCCTTCATTTCACTTCCCGAAAACAGTTTCCAAATGGAGAACTCCGCCGCCGCCACAAATCACCATCCGAGAAACCGTTACGCTTCTGGACCAGGTTTTAATTGTTCTGAATTACCCTTTGTCTTTTCATCGTCAAACCAAAAATGACATTCAATGTGTTTACTTATCGGCTGACTCCGAGCCTCGGCTTCAAGAGCCGATTCAGCTTCACTCCGTTAGGTTCCACGAACAAATCGTACGGTGTCCGATGCCTCCACGTGACGAGACAGTATCTCTCAGAATAAAATCCAACGAACCTCTTCAAATTAAAAACTCTTCAATCCATAATTGGGACCCACTGGTTTACGAAGCTCTTTTTGATCGTGACAACACCACCATCGTATTTGTAAAAGGACTTAATCTTCGACCAGAGAAATTATATGAACCGTCTAGATTCCAATGCGTGTACGGTTGGGATTTCACAAAGCCTAAGTTCTTATTTAAATCAGATGTTTTATCGGCTGCCCAAGAGATAATAAGATGCAAAACACCTCCAAGAATTTTAGCCCAAATCCAAACCCAAGCCCATACCCAACATGAAGGTTTTATTAAAGTATCTATTCAAATTGAAGGTAAACAAATATTTCCCTCAATAGCAAGGCCCGAGCTCATTTCAGGGACAATTTTATAATCGCTCTTCCGAATCAATCTCATGAATTCTTCCACATCTTTGGTCAATGCCTCTTTTTCCTTCTCTTGAGAAGATCCTCCTTCATCGACTTTACCCTTCCCTCGGGAAGTTTTCTCAGCTTCTACTTCTGGCGACGCAAAGATTCTGCCACTGCGGGTTATCCCCCTGCCCCTACAAGGTTGTCAACTGACCCTACCGGCGGGCTCGGCAGGTTAATCTTCTCCCCATTGCAGTAAACTTCCGCCCCATAATTCTAAGAGATAGCTTTAGTGCTTTCATACGAAATGGGTCCAGCTTTGGTGATTGTGATAGTCGGTCGCTTGGGAGGCGCCGATATCGTGACAGTCTTAAACGGGATTGTAATCGTTGCAACTTCGCCATTCTCTTCAGCTTTTTCCTCAACATGTTTCTCTTCAGCAGTACGGTCAAATTGCAATGTACCTTTGTCAGTCAACCCTTGGATACCTCTTCTCAAGTTATCACAATCCCTCAGGCCGGGCCAAACAATCAACACAATCTGTATCACAACCAGGGAACACTCCCCCATTTAACAATCTTCTCTTGACATAACCCAGAGGTGTTTTCAATTCATCCACACTCATAACCAAATTTAGACTGGTATCTTCCAAAACTGCACCCACCAGCGTAGATCCGTGAGCTGGCATCGGATTCTTCTCAATATTGGGTGCCTCATTGCTGAAGTTTATAGCCTTGCTATCTAACAAATCTTGCACCTTGTTCTTGAAAGCATGACAGTTCTCGATGCTATGACCGGGTGCCCCGGAATGGAATTCGCAATGTGCATTAGCGTCATACCCGAAAGGAGGTGTGCCCTTTAACGGAGCCAACGTCCTTTTCTCAACAAGCTGCAGTTGTAACAAAGTTGGAAGAAGCTGAGCATACGACAATGGAGGTGCATCAAATACTCTCTTCACAGCCCTATCCCGACCTTGATATCTCTGTGGAGAAGCATTCTGTCGTCCCTGTTGTTGTTGTGGCTGTTGTTGTTGCTGTTGAGGTACAGGAACTGTCACACTAGCAATCTGCTGCTGACGGTATTGGTTTCGACCTCTACCTCTTCCTCGGGAGCTGTATACTGAATTAGTATCCCCCTGTCTCTTGTTCCCAAAAGCCTTTTTACCACCTCCAGCTGAAGTTGACTCTCCCGCTTGAATCTTACCAATCTTAACACCATTCTCTATGCGTTCCCCCAAGAGTATCAACTCGGAAAAGTTACTCGTCATACAATTGATAAGCCTGTCATAGTACAACCCAGAGAAAGTGCCCACGAACATATCCACTAACTCCCGTTCCACCATGGGTGGGTGCACTCTGGCTACAAGCTCACGCCACCTCTGGGCGTATTCTTTGAAACTCTCGCCGCTCCTCTGAGAGAGATTTTGGAGCTGGACCCTGTTCGGTGCAAGGTCGCTGTTATATTGGTAATGCTTGACAAAAGCTTCCGCTAATTCCTTCCAGCTACCAATCTGAGTAGGCTCTAACCCCATATACCATTCCAATGACGGTCCCGACAAGCTGTCTTGGAAAAAATGCATCAGCATCTTTTCGTCATCAGAGTAGGCGGACATTCTCCGATAGTAAGATCGCACGTGAACTCTCGGGCACGTATCCCCCTTATACTTGTCAAACGTGGGCGCTTTGAATTTGATTGGCACCCTCAAGCCAGGAACCAATCCCATGTTAGCCACGTCCAACCCTGTGGAGTTCTGATTAGCAAGATTCCTCATCTGTTCTTCCAACAACCTGAACCTTCTATCGTTGTCAGCGGGCATCTCAAGATCCCTGCCTGACGGAGGGAAAGCATCTTCCTGACGATCTTCGCCCCAGTGAGAATCCTCATTACCATAACCAGCATAAGCAGTATTGGGACCAAAACCAACCTAATTGATCCTGGGATCGTATCCCATATTACCAAAACCTTGATTTCCAGCACCTGGCCCAAAACCAGCATTGTGAGCGCCCACTCCCACACCATTGTGGCTTGCATTGTCGAAACCTGCGTTACCGAAGCCCTGATTGCCGTAACCCTGATTTCCCTAACCCTGATTACGGTAACCCTGATTGCCATAGCCTTGATTACCACCAAAACCAGCATTGCCAACACCAATACCCATACCAGTATTCCCAGCACCAAGACCAGCGTTCCCAGTGCCGACATTGAACCCAGCATTCCCAACACCAATATTGAAACCAACATTTCCAGCACCAATGTTTCAATTGGTTTCCACATGCCCATTACCGTTACCAGTCATATTCCCATTTCTGGCCCCATTGCAGTTCTCAGTAGTATTGAGGACAACCACCGGTACCGTATCATCCGCTCGAGGAGTCCCGACTTGAGAAGGATTATTAACAACTCCGCCATCTAGCACACCCTGATTGTCAACCCTAGCAATCAGAGGCTGCACCAGAGTTTGCAGCTGCTCCTAGCCCTTGGCCACAGTCTCCATCACCTGCATGAACTGCGCCATCCTATCGCGCATCTCTTGCATCTCAGTCTGCATCTGATCCATGGCTTTCTTACAGTTGCTTCTGTTAGAGTAACGATGAATTTGCTGATCGGCAATCTTGGAACCTGCATCAATAGAGGATTAGGAGAACAGTACAAGGTACCTGCTATGCAAATGCAACGTGCGTCTGTGCTTTAGGGAAATTTCTCCCCCGATTCGAGTGCTAAAGTGCCAGTGTTGATAACAAGAAGTCTGGATCTAGTCACTGAAATAACATCTCATATATAGATGGGCCAACAAGGCAGTAGTACAAAGTCAATGAATACATGGGGAATCAATAGCATGACCTCAACCAACAAGCCTGGTGATGGTCAGCCTACAGCAAGAATCAGGAAAAAAAACAAAGAGTTACAAAGATAATCAAGTGCGACAGCGGGCATGAAACTCTTCTAGCGACTCTTTAGTCTCGGGGTGATCAGGTCGAGTGAGTAACCCCTTAACAAGTAACTCTCTCTGCATAATAGTGCACTAGATACCTTCAACCGAATCTTCCCATGCTCTCTGGCCAAAGCAATCTTCTAACTTTCGCTTCTTAGACTCGAACCTCTGCTTGCGATCTTTCAAGTTAGAGATAGCTTTGTTCAGCATGTCTTCAGTGGCATATCTGTGAGCAGTTTCCTCATCAAACCTCTTCTCACTAGCATTCACCTGAGACTTCAATTTGGATCTCTGCTGTTTCAGTTTGTCCTTCCTTTCTTTGTTGTTGGCTATGATGGCATTCCACTGCTGATTAAACTTGGATATTCTCCGGTATGCTTCATCCAAGTGCTGCTTCTTGGTGACCAATACATCGTTGACAGATTTGAAGTCCAGACCCAAGCGTTCATAATCAGCTATTTGCTTAGTCAAGTCCGTGCCCAACCTGTTCACCAACTCTGTCTGCTTCTTGAAGGAGTGGACGGCTTCATTTCTCTCGCTTCTAATCTGTGCCAACTCTTTCTCTATCTCTTCATTGGCCTTTTTCAGCTCTTCTCTCTCAGTTAACACCTGATTATACTGCTGAATAGGCACGGTAGTAGGCTCTTCCACCACTGGAGGGCACTCCTGCTTAGCAGGTGGAAAAAGCATCCCTATGGTCTCTGCTCTGATCTTGATCCAGGTCACATACGGAGCGTAAGCTTAGCTATTTCTTTTACCCAACAATGATTTCCCTCGTCTACTAATATCATTCCAGGCATGCTGAAGCTTAGATAACATATCCTCCTCTAGAAGACCGGTGAGGTACAAAGGTTCCTGCACCTCTTCATCCTTTGGCGGAACTCTCAAAGCATATGCAAAATGTCTGACAAGTAGAGATGGATTATAGTTGATACATCCCTTTCTTCCAATCAGAGGCACATTCGGAAACCCACTGCAGCTGAATATAATCTTAGTACCCAACATATCTCTATCAAACCACACAACACTCTCTGCTGATAAACCCATCAATCGCTCAGACCACTCAGTTGTGGCTGCAGATGAAGCAAAGAGACCCTTCTTGGGTAGGTGACTATCAAACCATCTGTAGAATAAGGGCACACAACATGATACATTCTTACCCCTTCTATTCTTGTTCTTGTAATGGACGGAATGATACACATCTCCAATCAAGGTAGGAACTAGATTCCCTGATGCAAATATATGAAAGGCATCCAAGTCTATAAAATTAGGCATGTTAGGAAACAAAATGATACCATATATGCAGAGAGCAAGAATGGCGTTGAACACAATCCAACAACCGTCTTTGGCACACTGTTGGGCTTTCCCAACTAAGAACTGCAGAGAGAAACCAGGAACCCCGTTCCAACTAGACAAGATCAACTCAGAGGCATCCAGATGAAGAGAAAGAGCTAGATTAGCCAGATTAGGCTTAGCATCAATATGAACAAAAGGCATCTGACTCTTGATAGGCACACCCAATAACTCAGCATACTCCTCTAATATAGGTACAAGAATGAAGTCTGGGAAAGTGAAGCATCTCAAAGGAGGATCGTAGAACTGCAGCAAGGCATACAACCCATTTAACTCATGTACCGAGGGTTTACGGACCAAACTGAGCAGCTTCGCATAAGACTTTCTGAATTCACCTCTCACAGTATCATCTGCCAAAGCAATCGGACTGGACAACTGAGCAACATCTGGAGTGGGGAGCTTGTAGGCCACATTCTTCCTCAGAGATCCCATAACAGCACAATAGAAGGCAAGAAAACCGGAACCGGGGGATAATGTACCTGCAACACAGACACACGTTAATGATATGCAAATGAGTATGCAAAATGCAAAATGCAAACATGCAACAGGGGATCAAGATGGCTGCTGAGAAGACCAAAGCTCTGATCCAACACAAACACAATATTGCTCTGATAGCACAACCCTGAAGAGGACCAATAAATATGCACTGTCGAGAACAACCACATCTCTGATGATAAGAACCACTAAACCCAACAACACTGATTCACTGTCAAGAAAACCAGGTAGTCTAAAGGTTAA